GTCTTAAAGTTGCCAAGTTTGGGGACCTCGGTTAAAAGTATGTAAGTTGTCATAAAGGATGATTGTCGGTCACTATTCATCTTGCCTGTTGAGTCTCTCAGAAGTTTTAGTTCCTAAGATATTTTGTAACAATCACAGTGCATACACAGAGGGGCTGTATGCATAATCACTAAAGAAACACCAAACTCATTAGGTCTGCATAATCTAAAATGAGGTTTCATTTCAGAGGCACTAGAATAATTTTTCTAAATACACTGTTAAAATATCCTTGAATATATATGTTTCTTGCTAAAATATTAGAGCAAGGGACTATTAAAGCAGGTTCCTTGCAGAAATCATTGTCCTTCAATCAGTAATGTAATTATACAATATTAAAAGGAAAAAATAATGCACATTTCCTCTGTATAGTTCATAGCACTGACATTCAGCTGTTTCTGCAGATTCTTGTAAAAAAAAGTTATGTCTATATGAACTGGGGGGTGGGGGGGGATAGCTAAGTTAATTTACTTTTGTTGTGTTTATAAAAACACCATTTTGTGACAAAAGTGGGCTTCTGACCAGGTCTCTTGTTTTTTGAGTCCCAAATCTTAACTTGAAAAACAACTACATGTTGATCCATTGCTGATTTTGTGGTATCAATTTATGCCACAAAATAAATTTGGTGCAGGTATGTTACAGAAAATGTTAAAATAATGCAAATACTGAAACGATGCACATAATGAAACTGGAAGACTTTATACCAATTATAAATATTGAAGTATTTTAGTATAATAACCCCCATCCCATGGGCCAACATGACAGCATGAATAAAGTCAGATATCTGAAGAGTGATAGCATGTGTATATTGATAACATGTCTTAACTCCTAACTCCATTATACCTGGTGAAAGTAGTTGGTGGGACTTGTTACAAGAATTTAATATGCCCATCCAGAAGGGAAACTTCCGGGTTTCAAATAATTTTAAGCTTCAGTTATAGTAAATTGTGCATGGGTCCATAACATTCTAAGATTGTTATGTTGAGGTGGAAGTGGCTACAGCTGAATCTTCCATGTTCTATATTAAGACCCAATGTAGAGACAACTTCTTGCAGGAAGTCCTTGACTTAGGAGCAGAATTTCCATCACTAAGCAAGATGGCTGTTAAATGAGTTGCACCCAATACTACCACCTTTTTTGCCAGGGTTAAATGATTGTAGTTTTAAGTGAATTTTTTGGTTGTTAAATCTGGCTACTCCCCTGACAGCTTATCAGAAGCTAGTTGGGAAGGTTGCAAATGGCAATCCCGTAACCCTCAGACGCTACCATCATAAATGCTAGTTGCCAAGCACCAGAATTTTCATCGTGATGGGATACTGCCTTGGTTGTAAGTGCGAGGAGTTGTCTCCAGTCACATTTTCAGTGCCATTTTAATTTTGAATGGTCACTAAGTGAGTGGTTGTAAGTCGAGAGCTGTCTAGTTCTAAAGTGAACTTGCTGATCTTTTTGATTTTTGTCTTGAGCGCGTAGAGTTGCCTTGGACTGTGAGCTGGGCAGCAAATAAATTTGATAATGATCCTGTCCTTGGAACCTGGGCGAACATAGTGTAATGTTTAATATAAATTATCCCCAGGATAATGAGAATTCACCTGGAAGGCTCCCTTATCAAAATACTATCACCCAATGAATACTGAATTAGAATTGTAACCTGGCTTTATTTGGCAGGTGGAGGGGGCACCTCTGGATCCTGGAAGAAAGTTTACCTCAAGGCTGGAGTTGAAAACAGACTTTCTCTTTGGGTACCTCTTGAGTTTATGTCTTGTGCGTATGTTGATGTGGTCATTTGCAGACTTGAATATTAGGTGGTCAAGTCAGCCAGTTTAACAGGTTTGGGGGAGAGGACTAATTCCATACATTGCCACACAAAGCCCTTAACCAAGGCAGGCTATGGGTCTTTGGTTATGTTGATCTAATATAGTTAGTCAAACAACCAAATGGCAACCTAAGACAAAGCTCATGAAACTTGGAATATAATTTTTAAAAAATTGGGCATCTCATCTTTATTAAAATACTTGAAGTGGCTTTAAAGAGTTTTGCTTCAAAAATCTATTTTGCTATTTGTAGAGTTCATCAAAACAAATGTGAGGGTTATAAAAAGTATTTCCCATTTTTGAGCAATGAAATGATAAATGCCACAGCTCTCAATTGTTCCCAATTCATCCTCTTAATAAGAGTTATCCTTTAGTTCCATCCCTTACAAATATCACTTGTTGGAATGACCTGTAGAACAAACTGATAATAGCTTTCCCATGCTGCTGCTTTTATGCCATATTTTGTGTCCTGTGGCTTAAACAGTGAGTAGGTTGTACTTGGCTTGTACCCCCCAGCACTACTCAAGACACTGTATAAATTCATGCAAGCAATAGCTTAATATTGCAGGTAGCCCTCAGCTTACAACCATAATTGGGACCAGAGCTGCTGTTGCTGAGTGATGCCATTATTAAGTGTTAAGTGCAAATTTATACCTTTGCCATGGTCATTCAGTGAATCACATGTCATTCAGTGAATTTGGTTTCCCCATTGACTTATCGGAAGCTCCCTGGAAAGGCAGTAAACTGCAATTGTGACCGTAGAACTCTGCAACCCTATATAATACACACCAAGTGCCCAAATTTTGATCATGTAACAGGATGTGATGGTTGTGTGAGTATTGGTCACAAGTCACTTTTTTGACTGCCATCTTACCTTTGAACAGTCATTAAAAAAGTAGTCCTAGGTTAAGAGCTATACCTTTATTTTAAAAATCCACAAAAGAAGCAAAAAAAAAAAAAAGCCTGCACCCGCACCCCTTGTGGGTAATACCATGCCACTTGTAGTCCTCAAAAGACACTTTTCAGGACAATCCACAGCAACAATAACAAAAATTCCTGGCTTACATTCCATTGCATCTTTTTCTGCAATGCCTTCCAAAAATGTTTTACCCTGATTTTATAGATTTCTTTACCAGATGCCATCATACTGTTTACAACCAAATGACCACAAAACAAAAGAGAGAGTTCTTTTGGTCTTAATGCCAAGAACTTTTATTTTTTTTAAAAAAATTCCTCATTTACTTCACAAGTTTTGGATAAACGACAAAGTAAGAATTCTTTAAAATATTTAATATTATTCAGGAAAATTGTATGATACGGGGATTTTTTTCAGTGTGTGTGGAAGCATGAATGATACAGGTTATATTCCCTCTATTGCCTTCTGGTTTTAATTATCAACTATCCAACTAAGGTAATGTACATTTTTTCAGTTGTGGGAAGCTGTCTTAGGTTAGATGCAAAGTATTTTTAATCACAACTGTAAGTTAATTCTGGGTGTTGATTGTAATTTTTTCCCATCATGTAGAGAATTATTTTATGATGCACATTTATTCAATTGAAACAGGACAAAATACAATTGTACTTACATGTCAGTAAGTAAGTCAGGAAAAGGAAGCTTAGCTTCTGAGGAACAAAAAGTCTGCCTAAAGTCTTCTTTTGTAGCTTTGAAATCTACTGTAGGAGACCAGTTTGGTGTAATTATGTTTTCCTCTCTTCCAAAGGTCGGTGAAAGCTTCAAGACAAAAGTATTATACTTCCTTTCTTTGTCTTTCAGAATGAGCCAGCAGGTGTCAAGTGCGGGAAATCAGGATTCCGGGCAGTTCAAAAGAATATGTAGGCTTATTGCATGCTAAAGCTCTTTACAAGAGCTCTGAATTAACAGTCAAAGCGAATTGGCAGTAGATAAGAGTCAACGGAATTCAAGGTGGGCTGGACTTAAATCTTGTGGGCGTGAAGGGACTCGAGACTGATGGCATGTTTGGCCCCTCGAGCTCAGCCTGGTCATCTACAGTGGAAGATCCCAAGAGGAGCTACTGTCACAAGAACCTTTTAAGGATTATATCCTCATAGTGTCCAAATTACAAGGCAGAAGACCAAGAGCTGCATTCAATTGGCCAGAGTACCATGAAATAGAATAATGGTCCTAAATCATAGAATACAGATTACAATTGAATGTTGGGGGCTGATGAGCAGGGTGGGAAAAGAGAGGGATAGGAACAATTTAATGAATCCAGGTAATGATTCCTCTTCACTGGATCCTGGCAAGCAGTAATGAGACTCCTTTCTGGCATGCTTTAATGTATTCTCAGTCTGAAAGGTTGTATTTAAAAGCCTAAGTAGTCCCTTTCAGCATGACTATTCTATGAATTCTAGGACAAAGACTGGCATAATATTACTAATGTATAGTAATAGTTGGGCTCAGTGTTTCTCAGGCAAGAAAATACTTCGTTTTATATCAAAATTTGGTTTTTTATCACATAAATAGTGGCAAAGCAAGATTGAGCATTGTATTAAGAAAGGTGGCTTCGTTTTAAACTTCTGAGATGGGAAGCAGAATGTGTGTGTGTGTGTGTGGATTTTTTAGTGCCCTCAAAATAAATTTTGAGCATTTGGACCAGATCATAAAAGTGTTGCAAGGATATATATTTTAAAATAAATTTATTCTAGAAGTCATTCAGCGTCTTTCATTTTGAATCATTTCCTATTGTTCAGACAATAATGTGGCATTTCAACTTCAGAGATATTTTAAATAAAAATTTAGTCCCATTTCATTAGTGTTTTCAACTTTTTTTTTTTTTTTTGTTGAGACTGAGATGATCCCAGTTCAAATTGTTAGTAAGACTATGTCAGGATCTACTCAGTGTTGGACCACTGTGACCGCTATTCCTTCAACCATGATGTCCTTTCTAACCAGTTTACTGGAAAGAGTTTTGCATGACACTCTTCCCTCTTTCAGAATTCTCCCCCCAGAAGAAGATACAAGTTCAATACAGTTGCATTTAAAATGCACGAGTATGGTTTGACAGTTTGGGGAATCAGTGAGGCCACTATTGTCCATGACTAGAGGGAATGCTGCTGGATATCTCAGGGAATATCTCCTTCCACTCTCTGGGCATTTTGGCCATCTTCAGAGACTTGATTTTGTTTGTCATCACCATGAAAAATTAGGTAGGTGACTATAGGAGCCCTGCTTCCAGAATGCCCTTTTAAAGAAATGTGGGGAACCTGCCTTTCTGTCTTTTTAGAGCTAGGGTAAGATGTGTTGATATGTTTTATTTTTTCCCTGTATGTAGTTTGGTTCAGTATCACAACAACTAGAAAAGTTCTTACATTGATTGTGATCTTTATTTACTTATTTACTGTACTTATTTAATTCAGTTTAAATGTTGTCCAACTCCAAACTGACTGAGAGGTTCCCAAATAAAGAATAAAATACAATACAGATCAAAGCAAGCTGGGATCCAGTCACTTTATTTAAACAAATGAAATGAAAATAGACAAAATGTCATCTAACAAGGGCTTCATCAAACTTAACTCAAGGCCAGAGAACAACCAGATCGTCAAGGCCTTATGGAATGCCAACAGGATGGACCATAGTGGGAAATCTCATTTCAGAAAACAGGAACGACAACAGAAAAGGCATCACAGCATATCCTGGCCAGGCAAAGATAGACAATTCCTGAAATAATCAGGAAGGGTTGGTGTCCAGCACTTTATATCACTTCCAGAAGCATACTGGAAAAATAGTGCAGTTTGTGAAGCAGAGGTGTCACATGGGCATTCTGAGGCATGCCCATTATTGCCCACACTGCTGCACTCCAAAAGTTTCAAAGTTTTCAAGGGAATCTATAGGTGCATTGCAGTAATTGAGCTGTGAGGTGACCAGGGCATAGTGATAGAAAGACGTCCCATTCCAAGAAGGAACACCATGCCAGATGCAGCCATATAAAGGCCCTCGGATACAGCTGCCACCTGCTATTTGAGCAGCATTCTTGAATGTATCATTCTTGAATGTGCAAATGCTATGCCATTTAAGAGTATAGACAGAAAATCCTTGGGTCCAGGGGGCCCTAATATCCACAGTCATTCAGACTTCATAAGATTGGGTGAGTCAGTTCTTCCTCATCCAGGATGAACTGCCTCTGGGCTGAGTTAGGACCTCAATAGCATCATTTAACCAATTGAGGTTGATAAATATAAATCTCAATCACGGGTGTCAAACTCACATGACATATTGTGACATTTTTTTGCCTTTGCGGAGTCAGGATAGGCATGGCCTGTGTGTGATGCATCCTGCTCATGAACTGCCAGTTTGACACCCCTGATCTACATATTAATGATACCAAATCCCAACCAGCAGAGGATCTCATCCAGCAGCTTCATGTACAGCTTAAACAGACGGGAAGAGAGCATCAACCCTGCGGTACCCCATATAACTTCTCCCCCATCTTCTTCCAATACCAACTGGAATTGGCTGTGAAGGAAGAGAAACATTGTAAGTTAAGGTGCCCTGAATTCCCAATCCCCACAGCCAACTGAAAAAGATACTATGGCTAATGGTATTAAAGGCCACTGAGATATCAAGGAGCACAAAGATAGAAGTACCACTTCCATCTTGGCTCTGCAATAGATCCTCAGCAGCCGCAATCATTTTTTTTTTTCAATTCCGTCCCATTCTGGAACCTGGTTGAAATTGATCTAAATAACATGCTTCCTCAAGGGTCTTCTGCAACTGCAGTCTGACTACCTTCTCAACCACCTTTCCCCCAAAAAGAAAAGTTGTAGCCAGGATGGTAGTTATTTAAAATCACTGTGACCAAGGTCAACCTCTTGAGTAGGAGATGTACTGACACCACCTTCAAGATTGAAGACAGCAGCTTCTATCTCAATGAGTCCAACATCATAGCATGAACCCAACAGACTTCCCTGGCCTCAGCAAGGACCTAGTTTCAATAAATAGGTGGATATGATGGATTTTCTCTATGAAGGGGGAGGTGATATGAGTTACAACAGGTGTGTCCAACCTGCCGCCCATAAGTCACATGCAGCCCTGGACAGCTCGGCCCCACAAGATTGTAAATTTCCAACATTATAATCTTATTTATATACATTAACTATATTGACTATTTTATATGTGGCCCAAGACCATTTCACTCAATGTAGCCCAGGCAAGCCAAAATGATGTACACTCGTGCACTACAGTGAAACAGCAATTTCCCAGGAGGGAACACTTTCCAAGGAGCAGGATGAGACAGGAGACAACACAGTCCAGAGCTGGAATGGTGAAAGGAGAGGTTTACAATAGAGACTCCCTAGAATCTCCCACTTTCTTTCTGGAGGCTTAGTTGCTGCCTGTCTGACTATTGTTTAGTCTGTGGCTCTTCCACTTGTCTCACAAAGTCATTCCTACAGACCGTTACTGCTGGACAGCTTTCAGTGTCTGTAATAATGTTGAGGATATATATTGATATTTCATTACACTTATTGGAGTGAGATAATTCCAGATTGTGAACTCTTATAAGTTATAAGAGTTTGGTCACATTTACTACAGGTTTTTCTCCAACAGCACTACAGGCATCTTTTCTGGAGCTTTATTTCTCAGAGCATCTCAGTACGCACTATATTTTAAGAAAAGAAAAAAATATAAATATATAATATAATTAAAACAACAATCCATACCAACTGAACTCTATCGTTAAAATTAATATTCATTTAAATCTTAAACATTTTACACATTCCTTTTCAAATAGGTATCATGCTTCTATGGGAACACTTATAAATTTTGCATTGTTACTTCCCCCTCATTTCACTTATATTTTAAAACATTATGTAATTATAATGGTCCCATTCCTTCTTAATTCAATTCTCTCATATTTCATTTCATTTATTTTGTTCAAGAAAAAAAAAGTTTCACTGAATTACATTGAATATTTTATCTCATTTTATAATCATATGTTATTCCAATTTTCTAACATTATTTCTAATACAAATACAACAATACAGTCTTACATACCTTTGCAGAATCTCTTTTTCAGTTATATTTTTACCCATTATCTCTAAATAAATCCTGTTTTTTTACATCTTGTTTCAAACCTTTGTAGCTTCTCTTCCCTTCCTTCCTCCCTTGCTTCTTCACTCTGCCCTTTTTATCCCCTTGTCTCTCCATCTCCATTTCCCTCTTCTGTATTCCTCTTTTCTGTTGCTTTTTGACATTATGTCCACTTTTCACCTTATTTTTCCCTTTTTTGGTTGTTTTTTTAGGTCTTAAATTCTCCATTCTCTTTTCCCCCTTTCCCCTTTCTTCCCCAGATAAAGTTACTTGTTCGTTAAAGATGGCTTCTTCTTTGTCCCAATCTTCTTGTTCTTGTAGTTTCTCATAAGTAGAGATCGCCATTTCTAAAAAATGAAAAACAGAGCCAAAAGAGCCCTTCCCTTCTTGTTCTTCTTCTTTATATTTTTTAAATTCCATTTTCAGTTCATCCACAAGTGATGCCATTGTAAAAAAAAATTTAAACAACCACCCAAGTGTTTTTAATCATTGAAATATAATTTCCAATCATTGAAATATAATTTACATTGAAATATAATTTACATTGAAATATAATTTTTAATCATTGAAATATAATTTCCATTGAAATATAATCTTCCTTTTTGGGACATTATTACTTGAAAATTGCTTTTAGTCCCAAAGTCACCAAGCAGTCCAAATACACACAAGCTGTTTCATTTAACACTTTCTTCTTTTTTCACTTTCTCTTCCTGGGGTTACAATTCAGTTACAAAGTTCCAATTAAAATGTATCTTTTAGAAGTCTTGTTACAATTTAACTTTAGATTCTTTTAAATTCCAAGCAGTCTCCTCCAGCCAAATCTTACTCTTATTTTTTTCCTCTCCCTCCCCACTTACAGCGAAAAAAAGTTTTTTCAGTGATCAGAAATCTTTATTGTCCCCTTGGGCTTTGATTTTCCAGTTTAATTACCTGCTGATGCCAAAGTAGGTTTTTCCGATTTCTCATTCATCTGCTGTCATCGTAAGGAGGGACAGTGAGAAAAAACAATCTTTCCCTTTTCACTTTCATTCGCTGCTTCCGGATCTTCTTTGGGAGCGATGTATCTTTTTTAAAATTTAAATTCCAGGATATCTTGAATGTTGCTTCTTATCCCGGTCAGCCAAAACTTTCACTTCTTAGCTTCCTCCTGCACATTCTTTTCCGGATGAGTGCTTCTTTGTGGCGGCCATTTCTGACCGCCGCTCTACCGACTTCAGAAAAGGGAGTTAAGCCAGCTGAGGAGGGGAGGTACGGCTCCCCTCAAACCCTGCCGGGTCTCCCCTATCTTCGACCACCTCTACGGGGTGGCTTAGCCCCGAAGCCGGCTGGCTCGGGGCACTCCAGCGGTGAGCGCAAGCAGAAACTGCGCACGATCGCGGATTCCTGCTGCCACCGAAGGCCTGCAAACCGGAAGTCCACACACGCACACTTTACTGGAGCTGGGAGCATACCTACTTTTTAAACCCTTGCAACCAGAGGAAGGAGAGGCACTAGCGCTGACCAGGGAGGAAAGTCAGTGATCCAACCACTGGTGGTATTTTGCAAAAGAAGGAACCCAGCCTTATGGATTAGGCCTCTGCTCTGATCCATGGGCAGTTGGGAGACCACAGGCTCCCCTAGCTCT